TTTTTTTGTTTTGTTTTTTTTGTATGATATCTTCAATTTCTTTTTTTTTTTTTTTATGGGTCTATTTAAGTTTTCTGCTTCTATTTGTGTTAGTTTAGGAGGTACTGTGTTTCTAGAAAATTTGCCCATTACTTTTAGGTTTTCAAATTTGTTGGACTACAATTTTTCATAATACTCTGTTATGATCTTTTTTATCTCGGTTGGTTCTGTTGTAATGGCACCCATCTCATTCCTTATTTTGGTTATTTGCAGCTTACCTTTTTTTTTCCTTTGTCAGTTTGGCCAGTGGTTTGTCTATCTTACTGATCATCTCAAAGAACCAACTTCTAGTCTTGTTGATTCTATTGTTTTTTCTGTTTTCTATTTCATTTATTTCTGCTCTGATTTTTATTATTTCCTTTCTTCTGGCGACTGTGGACTTCTTTTGCTGCTCCTTTTCTATTTGTTTGAGTTGTAGGGTTAAGCTATTGATTTTGGTCTTTTCTTCTTTTTTTGATGTGTGCATTTATTGCTATAAATTCTCCTCTGAGCACTGCTTTTGCTGTGTCCCAAAGGTTTTGGTATGTTGTGTTTTCATAGTCATTTGATTCTATGAATTTTTTTTATTTCATTTTTAATTTCTTAAATTTACCTTTATCTTCCTAAGTTTAAAACAATGTGTTATTACCCAATAGTTTTTAAGTAAGGTGCCATTCAGTTTCCATGTATTCAATTTTTTTCCTGTTCTGTTATTGATTTCTAGTATTATAGAGTTATGATCAGAGAAGAAGCTTTGTATTATTTCAATGTTTTTCAATTTTTTGAGGCTTGCTTTGGGGCCTAAAATATGGTCTATTCCAGAGAATGATCCATGTACGTTGGAGAAGAATATGTGCTGCTTTTGGGTGGTGTGCTCCGTATAGGTCTATACAGTCAAGTTGGTTGATTGTGTTATTTAGATCTTTTGTATCTTTGTTTTTTTCCTGGTTGTTCTGTCCATCATCAAAAGTGGTGTATTAAAGTCTCCTACTATTATTGTAGACCTTTTATTTCTCTTTTCAGTTCTGTGTCATGTATTTTGGAGCTCTGTCATTAGGTGCATAAATATTTATTATGGTTATGTCCTCTTGGTTGATTGACCCTTTAATCACTGTATGATGTCCTTCTTTGTCTCTTATAATAGATTTTGACTTAGTCTATTTTACCAGAGATTATCATTGCCATTCCTGCTCTCTTTTGGTTGCTGTTTGCTTGATATATATATTTTCCATCTTTTGATTTTTACCTACTTTGTGTCTAAGGTGTGTCTCTGTAGGCAACATATTGATGGGTTGTGTTTTTTTTTTTTAATTTATTTTTTATTGTACTTTAGATGAAGGTTTACAGAACGAATAGCTTCTCATTAAACAGTTAGTACACATATTATTTTATGACAATGGTTGACAACCCTATGACATGTCAACACTGTCCGTTCTCAACCTTGGGTTCCCTATTACCAGCTTTCCTGTCCCCTCTTGCCTTCTAGTTCTTGTCTCTGGACTGTTGTGCCCCATTAGTCATGTTTTGTTTTATGGGGCTGTCTAATCTTCGGCTGAATGGTGAACCTCGGGAGTGACTTCATTACTGAGCTAAAAGGGTGTCCGGGGGCCATACTCTCAGGGTTTCTCCAGTCTCTGTCAGGCCAGCAAGTCTGGTCTTTTTTTTGAGTTAGAACTTTGTTCTAAATTTTTCTTCAGCTCTGTCCGGGATGCTCTATTGTGATCCCTGTCAGAGTACTCAGTGGTGGTAGCTGGGCACCATCTAATTGTACTGGACTCAGTCTGGTGGAGGCCATGGTAGTTGTGGTCCATTAGTCCTTTGGACTAATCTTTTCCTTGTATCTTGTTTCTTCATTCTCTCTTGCTGCCGAAGGGATAAGACCATTGGAGTATCTTAGATGGCTACTCACGAGCTTTTAAGACTGATGGGTCATGTTTTTTTATTCACTCTGCCACTCTCTGTCTCTTGACTGGTGCATTTAAACCATTTACATTCAGTGCGATTGTTGATAGCTATGAATTTACTGATACCATTTTATTATGCTTTTCTTTTTGTCATGTTAATGGTTTCTTTGTTCCGCTTAATTTTCTGTGTTCTTTGTGTTTATGGATTTTCTTTTCTTATCCTTTGTTGTTGTTGATTTGTGCTTACTGAGTCTTTTTGATTTTCTTCTTCTTCATTTTAGAGAGGAAATTAATTTTCTTTATGGTTACTTTGAAATTTACCTTTATCTTCCTAAGTTTAAAACAGTCAGTTATATCTTGATATTGCCTTGACTTCCTCTCCATATAGAAGTTTATAACTACACCATTTATTCTCCCTTTCTGTTTTGAAGTTGTCATTGTTTACCAGTTGACAGCTCTGGTTCTCTGTTTTCAGTTTTGCAGAAACTGGGTGATGCTGTCATGTGTCTTTTTTTTTAAAATTTTATTGTGTTTTAGGTGAAAGTCACAGCACAAATTAGTTTTGCATTCCAAAATTTATACACAAATAGTTTTGTGACATTAGTTGAAACACCCATAATGTGTCAGCACTCTCCCCTTTTCCCTTTCCACCCTGGGTTCTCCATGTCCATTCGTCTAGTTTTCCTGCACCTTCCCATCTTCTCGTCTTTGCTTTTGGGCAGATGTTGCCCATTTGGTCTTGTATACTTGATTGAACTAAGAAGCACATTCCTCACGTGTGTTACTGTTTGTTTTATAGGCGTGTCTAATCTTTGGCTGAGAGGTGGACTTCAGGAGTGGCTTCAGCTGTGAATTAGCAGGGTGTCCTGGGGCCATAGACTCGAGGGTTCCTCCAGTCTCTGTCAGACCAGTAAGTCTGGTCTTTTTTTTGTGAATTTGAATTTTGTTTTACATTTTTCTCCCGCTCTGTCTGGGACCATTTATTGTGATCCTTGTCAGAGTGACTGGTGGTGGCAGCTGGGCGCCACCTAGTTCTTCTGGGCTCAGGCTGGTGGAGGCTGTGGTTCATATGGTCCATTAATCCTTTGGAAAAATATTTTTTCTTGTTTCTTTGGTTTTCTTCATTCTCCTTTGCTCTGAACATGCTGGGACCAATCAATGTATCTTAGATGGCCGCTCACAAGCTTTTAAGACCCCAGATACTACTCACCAAAGTAGGACGTAGAACATTTTCTTTTCTAATTATTTTATGTCAGATGATCTAGATTCAGCTCCAGTAACTCAATCCCTCAAAGCGTTTGGATGTGTCCAGAAAACTTCTATGACTTTGCCTTGGTCAAGTTTTGTGCTGACTTCCTCTATATTGTGTGTTGTCTTTCCCTCACCAAAGTTAACTTGTCTACTATTTAGTTAGTGATTTCCACTCCCTACCCCTCCCCTCCCTCGTAACCATCATTGATTGTTTTTTCTGTGTGTAAACCTTTTCTTGGGTTTTTATAATAGTGGTCTCATACAATATTTGTCCTTTTGTGATTGACTTATTTCACTCAACATAATGCCCTCCAGATTCATCCATGTTGTGAGATGGTTCACAGATTCATCATTGTTCTTTATCGTTGCATAGTATTCCATTGTGTGTATGGACCATAATTTGTTTATCCATTGATCTATTGATGGGCACTTAGGTTGTTTCCATCTTTTTGCTATTGTGAATAATGCTGCAGTGAACATGGGGGTGCATATGTCTATTCGTGTGACGCTCTTATTTCTCTAGGATATAGTCCTAGGAGTGGGATTGCTGGATCGTATGGTATTTCTATATCTAGCTTTTGAAGGAGGCACCGTATCTTTTTCCATAGTGGTTGTGCTATTTTACATTCCCACCAGTAGTGCTTAAGAGTTTCAATCTCCCTGTAATCTGTCCAACATTTTGTAATATCTGGGTATTTTTGATTAGTGCCAGTAATGTCGGGGTGAGATGGTATCTCATTGTAGTTTTGATTTGCATTTCTCTAATGGCTAATGATCATGTGTCTGTTAACGTTTCCTCATGTGTCTGTAGGCCACCTGAATATCTTCTTTGGTGAAGTGTCTGTTCCTATGCTTTGTCCATTTTTCAATTGGATTATTGTCTTTTTGTTGTTGAGGTGTTGAAGTATTCTATAGATTTTAGAGATTAGACTGCTTCTGTTGATAGTCACTATATTCAGTTAGTTGCTTTTTATATGACATCCACATTTTATAATTGTTTTCTCCTGGAGGGTTAATCCAGCAGTGTCTTAGTCTGTCTCATCTGGAAGCAGAAGTTCTGTCCCAGCATGGGACTCTGAATCTTGAGAGTTATTTCATGCCCTGGTCAATGCAATAGTCTCTGAACCAGTCTTTGCTTTCATCCTTGCCCTTCTACGACCTATCCTCTACACATCAAAGAGACCCCGTTAAACTGTAACAAGAGCCTCCATGGCTCCCCATTTCACTCATAGTAAATCCAAAGTTCTTAAAATGTCCTACTCTGTCTGTCTGAAACGTCTTGTCCTTGGCTTCCAGGTCACATACCTTACGCTGGTTTGCATCCTGCGTTTCTAACCACTCATTCGTGTTTGATTTTGCCCCTCCAATCCTAAACGGTGGGTCCGCCCTAAAAAGATGTTCTTGGCATCTGGTGTTTTCCCACTTTCTTCTGCAGCGATCGCATCCACTTTCACACTTTAAACTTACACGACAGGACACTGAAAGAGGCTTTTCCCGTTGCCCAGGAATTGGAAACCTAGACCCAATGCTGAAAGCAAAGAGGACTTAAGTATCCCCCACTTTCTCAGCAGAGCTGCAAACAGCACTGACTTGAGGGTTAAGGAGCCCTGGTGGCGTAGCGGTTAATATCTTGGTTGCTAACCAAAGGGTCGGCAGTTCAAATCCACCAGCCGCTCCCTGGAAAACCCTGTAAGGCAGTTCTACTCTGTCCTATTAGGGTCGCCATGAGTCGGAACTGATTTCAAGGCACCTAACAACAACAAGGGATTCTGGAGGCAGAGTGCTCTCGAACTTTCTTCGTCAGAATCTGCCCTGAAATGATTACACGCAGAGCGAAATTAGAGAGTACGTTCCTGCAGGTTCTAGCTACCTTTTCCAGGGACGGGCTGAACCAACTTTCCTCCCAATATCTGACCCCTTCCGCGGGGAAGCGGCGGGCGGCAGGGAAGCGGAACCCTGACGCTCACGCCCTTGCTTCTGGCCGGGCGCGGGTCGCTGTGCACCAAGACGCGCCGCACGGCCCGGCATGGAGGAGTGCGGCGATTCCGAGCCTACGCCGGGGTGCAGCGGCCTGGGCTCGGGCGGCGCACGCAGCAGAGGCGGCGGCAGCTGCGACTCGTGGGCCCCCGAGGACGCCTGGATGGGCACTCACCCTAAGGTCAGGAGGTGCTAGAGGAGCGGGGTGCCGGTCCCAGCCTCTAACGTAGGCGGATCCCCAGAGACGCATACCCTTTCGGGCCTTCGACTCCTTGCGGGGCCAGGCTGCTAAGGAAAAGCGTGAACCTTACGGTGTGGGGGCGGTGTGCACACTGCCAGCGGCAGGCAATATCGTTTCACTTTGTTTAAACGTTGAACCATCGCACTGGCACCTTTCCCGCCCCCTTACCAAAGCCATTCATAAATATAAGGCAAAACACTAAACCCCGCCTCTCTGAATCTGGACCAGTAATAACCACTAATATCTGAGCTTTGCTGTCTGGGGCTTGTCTCGGGGATAATCTCATTGAAACTTCACAGTAACCATGCAAGACGTTTTATGGGTCATGGACGAGATCTAGGAGTCTATAGTGATAAAAGTTTAAGCATGTTGACACTTAGCCCTTGGGCCCAGAGTGAGTGTCTTGTTTTTGCAGAAGTGTAGACTCCTGATTATTCATATTTCTTGGAAAGTTTCAATAGGTTCTTCCCAAAAGCATAGCCACTCACACTATGGGCATATTTTTCTGTATTACTAGCACGGGAGATAAAGTTCCCTGCTTGCTTCTGCTTGGAGGTTTTGTAGAAATCTCAGGGACTGGTCTGGTACTTTTGTAGAATTGCACTCTTCTACTGAAGAGCAAGAATTCATAGATAATCATATAAAAACAGTCAAGAAAAGGAAGAATTTGAAGATACAAGTTTGAAGAGTTAACCTTTTTTCATCTTCTCTTCCTTGATTTTCTCCTTTTGCTCTGTCCGCTTCTTTCCCCCACAAATGGTGAGAAAAACAGTTGCATAGTTATGTTATTCAGTGCCCTAAAAAGAACAAACAATAATATGGAGAGACAGCATAGTGGTTATGAGCATGAACTCAGTCAGACTGCCTGAGTTTGAATCCTGGTTTTGTCACTTACTAGCTTTTTCATTTTGGGCTAATTGCTTAATATCATTGTGCCTCAGTTTCATCGTCGATAAAATGGGGATAATAATAGTACTTACCACATAGAATAGCTACAGAATTAAATCAGTTAATATTCGTAAGGCACAATGGGACAAAAGGCTGCCCAGTCTTCTGCACCGTCCCCATGGTTGGTTGCAGTTTGAACCGTTGGGATCCATAGGGTTTTCATTGGCTGATTTTCAGAAGTAAATGGCCAGGCCTTTCTTCCTAGTCTGTTTGATCTGGAAGCTCCATTGAAACCTGTTCAGCATCATAGCAACATGCAAGCCTCCACTAATAGATGGGTGGTGGCTCCACATGAAGTGCGCTGGCCGGGAATTGAACCTGGGTCTTCTGCATGGAAGACGAGAATTCTACTGCTGAACCACCAATGCCCCGTAGGAAGCACTGTATAAGTATTTAATAAAGGAAACATCAGTAATACACTTTGAAAACCTCATTTAGATTTGGTGGTGCTATTCTTCCAGTTTCCATACAGTACAAATTTTTTCTCTTTGAAGTTAATGGCTATGTAGGCTCAGATAATCAAATCTCTTTTGATTTTTCTATTTGAAGGATCTGCTTGGTAAAGAAATGATATTAGGTGGTTGTTTTTCCATTTATGCATTTTCATTATTCAATATGAAAATTGCTTAGATCCGTCTAGTCTAATGCTATCAGGCATAGTCATCCTCAGATACCGCTTATGTTATTCTAATATTTAGAAGTCTTACAGTGTTTCTTTGTGGGTAAAATTCAAACTTTTAACTTAGCCATCAAGACGTTTGCAGCCTGACTGCAGTTACCTTTCCAGTGTTGTTTTCAAACACACTTGAGGTTTGAGGAGGATAACAAATAACACCCCTAGTCTCCTGCACCTGTACTTCTGGTGAAACTGATGGGGAATGTGGTTTCCGTTCTGCATCTGTGCAGCTCTGTAATCCTTCACCTCTTCAATAGCCCTGCTCACCTACCTAGTCACTGACATAGCTGGAGAACCTCAGGCTTCCCCTGCAGGGATAGACCCCAAAAGAATATTCCCCCTAGGCTGACCAGCAAGTCTGAAGTAAGCAGCAGCTTGCTTGATTCCTCCTTTAAAATCCAGCAATTAAATAACTCCCTACTCTTGAGTAAGATGGGGTAGGAGAGATGCCAGGAATGGCAGTCGAACAGAATTTCCCCACATACAAATATGAGGCCAGAAAATAGAGGCTAACATGCCCCAGCAAAATCCTACTAAAATTTTTTCTACTCCTGGCTGTTACAGTCCTTTCAGAGTGTGTGGCTTATTCTTACCTTTCCACCATCTGTCTGTCAGTTTGTCATACTCTGATGGCTTGTGTGTTGCTATGATGCTGGAAGCTATGCCACCAGTATTTCAAATGCCAGCAGGGTTGGCCGTGGTGGACAGGTTTCAGAATATTGTCCCGTAATTTACCCATATAGTGCTGGCAGATAAACCCGCTCGGTTGGAAGTCACTCAAAATACACAGTGGCCGCAACAATGGCCTCAGCCATGCCAGAGATCGTGAAGATGGTGCAGGACTAAGCAAAGTTTCATTCTGTTATACATAAAGTTACCAATGGTCAGAGCAACTAACAACAATGATTCCTATCTTTGTGAGATTGCTCACACTTCTCCGTTTACTCCAATCATGCCTGCTCTTCAGGAGCCAACTTGTATGCCACTTCTGCCCTAAAGCATTCACCAATCAATCTACCTAAGTAAAGCTCCTCTGACCTCTTGTGTCATGTTTTTTATTCCACTCACTTGGCTTTTAATCAAGTACTGTTATGTATTGTTACTTGCCTAACAATTGCGAGTGTGCGTGTATTTACCTTAATAATTGCAAGTTTTTTAGAGACCAAGATCCCCATCTTATATTGCTTTGTAACTCCCACATACCTAGAAGAGAGTTGTATACATTGTATGTATACATGTACACATGGGGTCATCATGAGTTGGAATTCGACTTCATGGCAAGGGGTTTGGTTTTGGTTTACATATGATTGATTGAAATGAAAGAAAATATGAAAAGATTCTTCCTTCTCTGTTTGACACTTACATTTTGATTTTCAGTATTTAGAGATGATGGAATTAGATATAGGAGACGCTACCCAAGTTTATATAGCATTCTTGGTTTACCTGGATCTCATGGAGAGTAAGTTGTTTGTTTACGTTGTTTTGTTATTGGGGCAGAGATGGGGGCTGGGAAGTCGATTTGGTGTATAGCATTGGTGCCATATAATAAGCAATTGTTTATGCATTTGTTATTAATTTTATAAATTAAGTTTGTAATTCCTTCACTCACATGGGGAATTAATGGGTAACAAAATATTAGAAAAGAGAAGAGAAAGGATACTACTATGATAGATACCGCTATCTAGCATATGAAAGATACCACTAGGTGGAAGTTTGGGATTTTGATCAGTTATTTTTGATAAATATTACTGTCCTTTCAATGATATTCTTTCAGGTAAAAGTTGGCATGAAGTGAATTGTGTGGGATTACCAGAACTCCAGCTCATCTGCCTTGTTGGTACTGAGATAGAAGGAGAAGGGTTACAGACTGTAGTGCCTACCCCCATCAGTGCATCCCTCAGCCATAACAGGTGAGCAGGTGATTGGGGTCTTTGTTTAACAAGTTAGTTGCTTTCCTGAATAAAGCAATAGAAATAATTAGATTAGAGATAGTAATATAATATTTTTAAAGGAATTTAGCATACAGGGATCATAGCTTTACTCTTAGTTATTTCAGAAATAAATTTAGCACTTATTGTATGCTTGGCTGCTGCTAATTGAAAGGTTGGAGGTGTGAGTCCATCGGAAGAAAGTCCTGGTGATCTACTTCTGAAAAATCAGCCACTGAACATCCTATGAAGCACAGTTCTGCTCTGACATACAGGGAGTCACCATGAGTCAGGATCTACTCGATGGCAACTGGTTTGCTTCTTTTGGTTTATGGTCAGTACTTTGAACTCACCCAGAGGCACCTTAGAAGACAGACTTGGTGATCTGCTTTTAAAAGGTCACAGCCTTTTGTAAAACCTTATGAAGCAGTTCTGCTTTGCACACATGGGGTCACCATGAGTCAGAATTGACTCAATGGCAGCTAATTAATAACAACAACTTTTTCAGAGAATATATGATAGAAGTACTATCCTTAAAGACACAGGCAGTATTTACGTGCTTGATAAGGAGGCAGGACCCTTACATTTAAAGCAACAGATATTATAAATGCACCAAAATAAGTAATACAAATCATGCTTGTCATCGGACTTGGTGACAAAAATGATTAACATGTGATTTGGAATTACAAAAAGCTTCACACAGCTCATAGAGCGTTTTTTTTTTTTCCTCTTTTTTTTTAATTGTACTTCAGGTGAAGGCTTACGGAACAAATAGTTTCTCATGAAACAGTGGTACACATGTTGTTTTATGACAGTGGTTAACAACCCCACAACGTATCAACCCTCTAACTTCTCAACCTTTTTTTTTTTGGTGAAAATACACATAGCCAAAGATACACCGTTTGAAAAATTTCTACATACACAGTTCAATGACATTGACTACGCTCTTCCAATTGTGCTGTTATTCTCACTTAAGATGAAGGCTTACAGAACAAAATAGTTTCTCATTTAACAGTTACTACAAATG